CATTAACTTTCTTACTTCTGTCCTTACCTGCCATCAGTACTACTTGTATGCTGATGACTTGTAGATCTAACTTCGGCACCTGTTTATGACGTGATGAATGTAGTGCAGACTTTAATGACGATCTTAGGGTTATACATGAATGGAGTTGTGCCCACTTTCTTTCATTTAAACCTAGTAAGACACAGGCCCTCATCATTGGTGGGTCAAAATAAATCGCTAAGTTTGATCCTTCACCGATTAACCTCAGATCTACTCCGCTGACCTACAGCAACGTTGTTAAAAATCTTGATGTTTTCTTTGAAAACACCCTTGCATGGTCCCCTAATGTTTCTGAGGTCAGTAGGAAGATATTTGCTACTATGGGTTCGTAATAAAACAGGAAAAAACTTGCTCCCTGTGAGGGCCAAGGTTGAGTTTGCGTAATCTCTCTAACCTCTCGTCTGTGTAAGTGGATGATTTCTGCCACAAGTGAGAAAATTATTTTCATATTTTGCGTTTTATCATATTTAGTAATGGTTTTTAATTTACACATCTAATATATAGATAATTTAATAGAGAAAATATTCAGGATGATTTAAGACATAAATGAAGCTTGGATTTACAGTGGAACTCAAATAACAAGAGGATTTTTTTTATTTTCCGGCCGTGAAAAACAATATGGAGTGCTACACAGACCAGGGGTTAAAACCAATTCTGGATTATGCAGACGTTTGTAACGTTGATCTGAATGAAAAACTACTAGATAAGATTTATGGTTTGTGCAAGTTCGACCATGTATCTGAATTTAGGAGTAAGCTGAAATGGCTTCCCATTAGGTTGCGTCGTGAAGAGCATCTTCTCATTCTATTCGGTGTTTTATGACACTCGCACTCCCCCTTACCTCAAGGAACGTATTCAATTTCTTGGTGTGGACCACTATCGCATTTTGTACTCTAAATATGATAAAGTTTTAGAGATACCTCTCACTCGCTTTGAGTCTTACATGGGCTCCTTTACGATTAAAACTGCACAACTATGGAATAAGCTTCCGTCAGAGATCCGACATGCAAAGTCAATAGCCATTTTTTAAAATAGTCTACATGATTTTCTTTTAATTAGATCCTAGTCGGTTGTATGTATAAATATATAATAATACATATTTGAATGTATATATTTGTATAGGTATATGTTTTCGACCATTACATATTCAAGAAAAACATGTATAAATCTTGCTTTCTTCTTTGTTTTATCTTGCTTGCATTCTACAACTTTCTCTTCATTAAGCTTTTCCTTACCTCATAGGTTGTCTGGAAAAGATCAGCTATAAAGCTGTCTTTGCCCACATTACACATACTATTATTTTCTTTTTTTTGTGAGCCTCTTTGATTTAGAGTAAATAATCAAAGGTGAGCAATCAAGAATTTATCTATCTATTTAACTACTTTATTGACATTCAGGGAAAAATTATATAAATAAAGTTACTAAATTATTGGAACAAAAGAATAAATAAAACAAGTTTCATCGGTATGGATGCACTGATTTATTTATTTATAACGTAACTTAGTCGTCAGACATAAGATTTTATTAAAAAAAACTTTAAATTGCTCTGCCGAGATATGATCCATCGAAATGGCTACTGTACCGCGCAGGCAGCCACCGAGCGCGGTGAGTAATGAAACAACTTTTTACAACTCGCCGACCAACTACGGAACTTTCCTATCCGCCAATTTCTTTCAATAAAACTCTTGCTCTGGCACAAATTAATCCGAACGAGTATTGTTGCAAGTAATCTGTCGAAAAACTGGGGCGCCCCCCTTGATTCAGCTTGAAATGGCTACCCTGTGCTAATAGGAGGATTGATTTACGATTCGGCCCGTCTGCGAAGCGTTTACGTAATTCATCATTGATAAATGTTTATTTGTATACTTATAGCCACTGTTACTTGTATTTCAGTATCTTTTTACATCGCTCTTTTTAGTGTCACGTATGTTTGCTTTTTTGTGGGCATAGTATTTTATTTATATATTTTTTTAATAAAGTTGACTCTGGCCACGACTTAACGCTTTCATCAATTTCCTTTTGAGGAAAAAAACCCCTAAAATATGGGTAAATAGTATACTCCAATCTAGAGAGACATTGAAATATATTAATAGAAAATACTCTCTCGATAAGACACGTTTAAAAAAGAAGTTCACTAAAATGCACAAGAAATAAAAACTATTGAGACAAACTGAATATTTTTTCATGGGACTGAACAGTAACTTTTCCGCATCAGATAAAAAAAAACACGTAAATCGAATCAGAAATCTCTGAGTAATCGATGTACATGCAAAAAAAAACATATCTTAATTGTGAATCTCTTCCTTTTTTAAATCGGTTAAAAAGCTAAATTTCTTGTTGATAGGCACGCCTTGAAGTACACTTTATTAAATTTTCATATTCTTTATATTATCCTGATACACTATTGAACTAATTTTTACCCGGCTGCGCAATGCAAGAGCGCGAAGCGCGACGCGCAGACAGGGTTATGTGTTTAACAGTCCATATATGTATGTTTGTTCCTTTGTGGCACACTAGAGACCAAACGCCTGGACCGATTTTGATGATTCATACATCAATCGATTCATCTCAATCGTGGGAGTGCTACTAAAGATATGATAGTAATCAAAATTCAATATAGGCAAAATTAGGCGCCATATCGTGACGAAGTAAAAAAAAAAAGTTGACTAAATATGTCGAATGGGGTATCACTGTCTAGATAATCAAAAATCATATTTAGGTTCCTAACACCATTTTTCATTTTATATGATTGTTTAGGATCTACAATTCCAAAATGCACATTTTGTATTAACAAATCGTTTTTTATCAAAACAAATACTTTAATCGCTTTTGATATTTAAAGACGATAAACTTTGCTTTTTACACTATGTCATTTCGACAAATATTTAAAAAGTTACAACGATGACAAAGTGATAGCGCGGTGTACTATGTAAAAGAAAAAAAAATGGGGTATTCGCAGTATCTGATCCTATACGAAGTACTAATATTAAAACTGTGATACAGTTCCTTCTTATTAAATGATGAAAAATATATTATCATAATAAGTATTTATGATTATTGAATTTTAATGAAAAACTCAGAATTTTACTGTTTTTCATTTATTTTAACGATATTACTGAAGGTTACAAAAAAGGTTTACTTAATATAATGACAAATAACCCATTTTCGCTAGTAAGTACATACTTATTGGAATCCCTGTATTTATTAATCAGCTCGCGATAATATTGGTTTTGTAATAATTCTGCAAAATTCAAAGTAAATAATGTAGATTTTTATAGGTAAATCACCCCTTTCGTCACCCTACGCCTATAAGTATTGCGATGTTGTAGCTAAGAACCAAGTTCCCATCTACTTCTATATGGGAATTAAATAAAGAAAAATGTTATAATAAATAATGTAGCCACCTTATGATGAATTAATATTTGAAACCGGTTCAGTAGTTTGACAGATTATTTTTTACAAACATACAAATCTTGCCTCTTTATAATATTAGTATAGATAGTTAGGATAAGATAAGTATTTAATTGATGAAAAATATTTAAAAATAAAGTAAGTAATAGGTTTATTTGATTATATTTGTAAAAGTTACTTAGCATTTGTGCTTAACAGTGATACGTTATTCGGTATTTTTATAACAAAAAAAAATTTGGAAAATAATTGCCATGATTGCACTACCGGGAGTACTCTTCATTCGAGCTTAGACTACCAATAAAAAAGGGTCGAACATAAAGTCTTTGACCTGTTAAATGTGAACGCTTTAAAAGAAAACTACAAAGAGAACTATAAATTGATAATAAATGAGATTGCTATGGTGCTCTACCTAACGTTAGGAAAATTTTAATATGCGCCTTTAGTTTAATCAAATATTATAAACTTTGCTTTGGTGATTGCATAATTATTTAATTTAGTGATCTAAGGCAGTTGCCACCATTGTCCAAAACAACAGACGGGAATTACTTCTTTCTTCAACCTGCGACATAAACGTCATTGATTGGTATTGTATATAGGGTGATTAAAAACATTTGAAGTTAACTTCTGGCATCTACATATTGGGTTTCTGTGAATTATGTAGGTATATCAAATTATGAGACTAGGGACTGACACTAAATTTGTGTATATCACAATCTTAGACGTCCGGCATTGACATGACAATGCAGCCACTGCCAATTTTAAATAGTCGACGAATAAAAGTAATGAATTTTATATTTACTGCTAAACTATTAAAAAAAACATAAAGTCATCTTTTGACTTTTTGAGTGCTAGTTTACTATAAAATTTACATACATTAGAGATATTTATGTAACGACTTGATTTAACTTCACACATTTTTGCGAAAATTGAGGCCCATCTGTAGCCTTGACCCCGCTGGTAAAGTCTTTATATGTCTCAATAAATCAATCTTTTAGACCGACACAAGGTACTTAATAATTCCCGCGATATTAATTCCCTTACTGAAGTAAAAGACTACGGTATATACCGTCTTAAAATACTAACTAAAAAGTGTGAAATAAAAAAGGTAAATTTAAAAAATCAAAAAACCCGACTGCTTAATTATTCTTCAAATAAAAACTGAAAAGAAAAAAGCAAGTCCAGTAGTCTATAATTCTGTTAATAAGGAACAAAGCTACTTTAACAGTCGGGACCCACTGTTAAAAATATTATTTATTCTTGAATATCTAATGGGTCCCGACTGTTAAAGTAGCTTTGTTCCTTATTAACAGAATTATAGACTACTGGACTTGTTTTTTTCTTTTCAGTTTTTATTTGAAGAATAATTAAGCAGTCGGGTTTTTTGATTTTTGTATTTGTTTTATTGCGGTTGTAAAATCCTTAATTTCAATAACGACAATCATCGACTTTTAGGCGGTACGAAGCAACCACCAACCAGCGGGCCAGATAAATAACAGAAATTATTTAGGTACCTTTTTATTCATTCGTTTCTGAAAAGGGAAAGAAAAAGCTTTCTCTAAGATTGTAAAATTCTCTTTATTTTGTTTTCTTCTACCAAAATGTATTCCTTAACCAATGTATTGGATCACCGCGTGCTGCAAAAATGAATAGGAAAAAAATACGTAACAAAGTTAAAGTCTACTCATATTTTAAATAACATTAAATATAATCTTTTTAGAATTCATTCCGCGAATTCATCCCAAACACGTGAGGTCGGCTGGGAGCTCTGTAGTGGCGGCTGTAGACGGTTTCCCACAAGCGCCGCCGCTCCTGCAGCAGCGCGTCATACCGCAGTTCAACAGTTTGTCCTAGTAACATGTAAGGAGACCCGTCTGCACTCGTCGCTGGCCACGCGGGCAGGGACGAGCCTTCCGGTACCGGAACACTGGAATCAATTGACATAACTTAAGATGCTTCGAATAGAACATAACTCGAGGCTGTAGTTGAATCTTCTCCGATTATCCACTCTGTAGTCCGCTACAGAGTGGTTATAAAAGATATACGCTGCGTATAGATGGCTATTTACCTGCTCACTTTACACACATACGCGAGAATTTTATTTATATTTAGATAACGGCGTACATATTTGCAGCTCATCGCCAAAGTTGCATGTACGTTGATAAGGCAATTGTCCCACCGCTGACGACAAACGAGAAGCGAGTAGATTTAAGAACTAGAAATGAGTTGGCGAGCAGCAGGAAGCGAGTGTATAGTTCCGATAGTTTTATCGGTGGGCTATAAGCGAGTATCCGAGCACAACGGGCGATTACTCACCTGGCTCGCTCGCGGTGACAGTCCTAAACAAACATACATGCTAACGCGTTTTGACGGCCAAGCGAGCATCGTTGAGCGACTTCTCGCCGGCAGTGTGTACAGTCGGCGATCAACTATTATATACAGGGACCAACGTTTCTTGAGCGAGCAAAAACTCGATAGTTAGTCGCTTCCGGCGCTATGACAATTGCCTAAGCTTTGATTATCGAACGATGACGCAGTCGGTTAGCAGGTCGGTCAACTTGCGATTGTGGAAGTTGATTTCTTGGCAGGTCACGCAATGGCCGGCCATTGATGGGTGACCAAAAACTTATAATTCATGAACTCCTTCGTGCTTTGGAAGGCATGTTGAGCCTTTAGTCCAGGCCTCATCTGCAGTCCATAGCACCCTGCACTTGGCCAGCGTGGTGGGTAATGGCATATTTTCCCTATGCCATCCATAGGGAAGATATGTGCCACAGCAGTGGGGACAATACATTAAGAACATACTATAAAGTATTATGACAGTAGTTGTAATTTAGAAATTGCATTTCAATGAAGTCTAGGGAAAATATTTACATGATCCTCAAAAAAAATATAGTAAATGATCACCAAAAATACAATTGCAACCTAAAGGTTAGATTAGGTTAGCAGTTGTACTTACGCCATATTTTTTGGGGATATATCATTTATACGTAAGCCAAAATAAGCACCAATAAAAAATTTTGAACTTACCCTGTTTTAATAAAGTTGCTCCAAAATTGTCTTACAGTGGCTTTGTGTTTTTTATAATTATCTGGTAAATCTTTTTCGTTGCCTCCGAACGTCAAATCTCCGTCGAACACAGCAAATGTTTGTGCGCAATGTGGGGCTCCTTTTACATTAGTGTATGGAATATTTGGCATCAATTCATTTACGTAATCATAAAAATATACAAACACTTTGTCATTACCAGCATTTACATTATACTCTACAGCTTTTAATGTTGAGTAAGTAAATAAAGCATCAGAGAAGAAGTCTATATACGACAGTACAGTGTCATTATCAACTTTCTTATCTTTAAAATAAAATTCCTTTATTTCTTTAGCTACTTTTTCTTTCTCTTCGTTGTTTACGAATTTTAGATTAACAGGTAAAAAGTCCGAAAATTTTTCATTCATGTCATTTTTCCACGTTTCGAATAACGGGAAACGCAATAAACCTTCACTGTCCGCAAAACCAACAAGTAAAGGAAGTTTCTCATAATTACCACTTTTTAGTATATTAGATGGACTATCTGCAAGGAAAACTTCTTGACCTATATCGGTCTCTACACATGGTGAGAATGCAAATGAAGAATCCTTCGCATGAAAGAATGGATCACTCGTTATTGTTTCAAATGAAGCGGACTTATAAAATTCTTCTATAGCGTGAACATCATCGGCATGCTCAATATTAAAATGTTTTGCTAATTGCTGGGCATTTTCTAGAGGGTCCGTTTGAACGGCGAATGTTCCAAGAGCGCTACCGCTCTCGGCAATCACCTTATTGAATAAACCCTTTGCCATAGGAGAAAGCATCAGTAGTTCTACTGATGCTGACCCAGCGCTATATCCAGTGATGGTTACATCTTTGGGATTGCCTCCAAAGTTAGCTATGTTCATTTTTACCCATCGGAGCAGCGCAACTTGGTCTTTCATACCTGCATTACCAGGAGCATTTTCAGTACCCAGGCATAGAAAACCATGTATGCCAAGGCGATAGTTAAAGGTAACCGTAATAATATTATGAGTCGCAACAATTTTTTTAGGTTTAAGAGCATTCCCATGTCCACCCTGGAAACCTCCTCCGTGTACTACAACCAAAACGGGTAAATTTTTGTCAGTAGTATCTGGAGCGTACACATTCGCAACCAAACAATCTTGTTTTATGTCAATGCCATGGTAAAGTTGAATGAATTCAGGAATTGCTGCTTGTGGACATGCTGTGTTTTCTTTAACTGCATCTAATGGTGTTATCCATGATGGTCCTGGAAGGGGAGCCTGAAAATAAAAATATTATTTACAAAAACTGATTTATTTAAAACGATCCTTCTTGAAACCACAATTTTATTGTAAATCTTGCGATGTATGACATCTCATAATAGGGGAGTTGGGGGAATGAGAGTCACTACGTAATATGGGTCAATTCAAAATAAGCAGAACGAAGTGTGTTTCGAAATACGCCTATGTTGTATGGGATTTGAATTCGCACCCCTCCCGCACTGCCGCACACACCGGACCGCTAGTAGCGCTTGCGTCGGCAGGAGCGACACAACCATCATTTTGGTTGATTTCGATGTTAAAATTTCGAAAATACAAACTGAATCGTGAGTATAATTATATGTGATTTTCGTTTTTCTTTCAATTGTAGTACTATACAGAGTAGACAGATAGATAGATTAACACTTTATTATAACACCAAATACATAATTCCATAACATTAACAAACAATAAACTTCACAAAAGCATTATAATTGGCGGTCTTATGGCTAAGAGTGATTTCTTCCAGACAACCGTGAGTAGTACTATAAGTTAACTTAAAGGATATTGATACAGATATTTCAATTCTGGTTTTGTTTATTTTTTAATTCAAATTACATTTAAAAACGGTCATTGGGGTAATCCGAGTCAGTTGACCCCCATTACCCTGATAAACTAGTTATTTATAGATAATTATTTTTTCATTTTAGATGCCAAGAAACCGTAAAAGAACGACATGCAAAGCAAGTTGGACTGTGGATGAGTTCTTACAGGCAACGTATCAGACAAGGCATGTCAAAAGGTTGCTCAGGAAACAGGCATTCCTTTTAGTTCATTACAGAGAAGAATAAAGAAAGATAATTTCAGTGCTCCAACATTAGGAAGACAGGCTATTTTTAATGCAGAACAAGAAAATATGTTATCAGAGCGTATTTTGCTTTTAATTAACTTGTTTCACGGATTGGGGTCCAATGATTTCTCATGAGAAATTCACGGATAAGCGTCAGAAAACCCGAAGCAATTAGTATTCAAAGAATTACCGATTTTAACAAAAACTAAGTTAAATGTTTTTTTAATAATTTGGAAGAAGTTATGATGAAACATGCATTTGGTCCACAAGACATTTTTTCAGAGAATAATCAATAACTATGATATATATTCTCCCACAAAACTTCACATATGCTCCAGCCTCTTGATGTGGTCTTTTATTCTCCCTTGAAGAGAGCATACAGCAGAGAGTGTACTTTGTATATCAAACAGCATAACTTACAAAAAAATCACGCTATTTGATGTTGCTGAACTTTTCAACAAAGGCTATATGAGAGTTGCGTCAGTTGAGTAAGGCGTCAGTGGATTTTCATCAACAGGAATATTTCCTCTAAATCTTGAAAAAATCAAAGACGAAGACTTCATAGCTTCTTATCTCCCACCATTATAGACTTAGATGAAAGTGTGAATACCAACATTTTGAAACCTATAGCGTCGAATAGCAACTCTTCAAGCCTTCAACTAGCAGTAATAGTGAACCAGTGAATGTATCTTCAACCACTCCCATGACTGATACCTCTGCCGACCTCAATAAAGAGTAATGGTAAGGGTTCACCATTGAAGGAAGTTTTTGAAGAGAAGGCTAATAAACGAAAAGAAAATGAATTGCGTACAGAAGGCAAAGGCCAAGAAAGTTAAACAAGCTAAAATGTTATATATTTTTTTAAAGCATGTAACTGCTTGATGTTTAAATCTAAAGAAAATATAACTAGAAAAAATTCCACGCGGACCAGGCAGCAGACGTAACTCGAACCCACACCCTTCGCAATCCGGGCGAATGCACTGACCAATTATGCTACCGCGACCCTCACGGACCGCGTCGAAATTCCTCTAGTAGTCTAGTTCGAGTCCCGTCTGCTGCCTGGTCCGCGTGGAATTTTTTCTAGTTATATTTGCTGTATTTATTTAAATAAAGTTTATCCGAAGAATCACCTGATGAACAGAATTATGTGCGATGAGAGTGGCGATAGTGACCTAGAGGTACCGTTTGATATTCAGAATAAGCGTGGAGACGAGTCCCTGTGTACTATATGCTTGGAAGAGGGAAAATCAAGGGAAATCTGCTACCGTTGCCGTATGAGGCTTGTACCGGATGTGATGTTCCAAATCGTTATCAATGTGATTTTTGTAGTAATAAATAAGTATTGTTCCTATTTTTCATTATGTTTGTGTTAGAGCTCAAAAGTGTTTAATTTTGTTAATTAATAATTACTTTTAATTGTGTATCCTTGTTTTAAGATTTTAACCCAGACATGTGGGTAATGAGAGTCAATACTGTATCTTTGTTTTTTAATTATTATGAAGAGAATGATTAACATAAACAAAAACTTCTTACTTTTCTTGATTGCTGATTAGTTGGTCATGATTATAAAAAATGGTCAAAATAAAAGTCTGAGATATTGTGATTATAATAAGCAGTTTTCCTTAAGTAACTCCCATTCCCCCGATCTTTCCTATACATATAAGCAAGGGTCACTAAATCATACCCCATCCCATCTGATATTAAATGGCATGGAAAACCAGTTAAGTGCAGCAAATTATAATATTACATTTTCCAGTCTTCTATCTATTGACCTTGGGAAGCGCTGGCATTTTCATTCACTTCAAAGGAACGGGGAATTTTTAACGTTAATCTAATACTTCAGATGATACTCACACTCAAGAAACTCTCTGTGTACTTTTCAAAGTACCAATACCAAAATATATTATGAATATAATCAATGTATTCGCAATGTCAATATCACACTCAAGAAACGCTCTGTCTACTTTTCAAAGTACCAATACCAAAAAATATTATGAATAATCAAGATATTCACAATCGATAGTCAATAATATTATAAACAAATATTGATTTGGTGTAGATAGTCGAGAGCAAACTAAACACGGTTTCTAACCAGTTTTATTGAACAGAATAGCTGTGCCCGCGAGAGCGAGAACCTCGGGTAACACCGCATGTTACACGCGGTTTATTAGGGATATTTTCCCACAGTACAACATAGCCTATATGTTAATCAAGGGATCAGCTAACTCCATACCAAATTTTATTAAAATCGTAACAAACATACCCACTCACACACATACAAACTTTCGCCTTTTTAATATAAGTGTGATTTCCACCAAAAATAAGAATGGTACCAAATAAAAGTTTTATTTATTATTAATAGATAATATGGAGCACAATATGTTGCGTCTATTATAGGTTTGAGTGAATTATATAAGTGGATAGTAAATTTGTTTTCGTACTTCCTGCTATTATCTTGTTATTGTATGATGGCAAAAAATGAAGTAGCCTGAAAAAAAACAACCAATTGCCATATCCGAATAACTAAATTAGCGGTAGACCTATAGCCGACTTCAAACAAATTAATAAGGATAAGTAGGTACCTACGCATATTTTTTGTGTTTGGAAATTTTTTAGGGTTCCGTAGTCCTGACAAAGAACCCTTATAGTTTCGTCATGTCTCTCTGTCCCGCCCCGGTTTTGCTTGGTGACTATTAGCACTAGAGAGCTGTAATTCTATGGAGACATGTATATCGATCACGCCGATGAAATGGTAGAAGAAAATTTTTAAATAAATTTCTTTTGGGGTAGCTACCCTACATGTAACCTGGGGATGATTGTTGTTTCATCATCTACCCCATCGTGTGGGATATCATCAAAAAGGTCCTTTAAAATTACTTAGGGGTTTCTTAGGCTATTTTTCGATTTAGGGATCCGTTTGCATAATGTTATTTTTGTTCGAGTAGCTCCCCTCCCCCATTAAAGGTAAACTATTAACTTGAAAAACCTGGAAAATTCATGATAACAATACTTTTATTTTTTTAAAGGAAAACTATAACAGTTAAGAAATATTTGTTAGTTTAAGAGTAATAGTCGTTCAACTTTGGTTTAAGAAAATTTCTTACCTATTCAAAATTCCTTAGAAGAAATCGTTAATAGTGACATATATGAAGTTATTGTAGCGTAAAACCTTGCATTGTAACAAAAATTGTAACTAAAAAGAAATCATAGATCTCGTGCTCTACACGGCTTGAAAGGATATTGAAAAAGAATCTACCTATTAGAGATTATTAGAAAATATATCATTATTTTTTTTTCATTACCAACTTTTTCAATATATTTTTACATCATCTTAAAGCCCTTCGTATTCCGCGTCTTTTGAGCTCTCATACGTCCTGGGACCCAATTCTCGCGGCGTAGATATTATATCGGCTTCGAGATAATATCGAAAGTAGGGATATCTATTGAAAATATCTACTGATGGTAAAAAATGCTATTCTCGTGGATTTTCGATATTCCAATGATATTATATCTATCGTAGATATTCTTTCACTGCCGAAAGCGTTCCGTTTTTCTCGATTAAGTTAATATCATAGTCTATATAAAATAATAATAAATTAGAGCAGAATTTTACAAGCAACAAAATGATATTTTATATTTTATGAATTCCATTCATATTAAATATGAGTATACATTTTTTGAGTATAAGAAATCTCAACTTTACCTAAATTGTATGCGTTTAAAATTTCAACGTTATGTATAATGAAACGTCAATATTATTTAAAATTCTCCCTTTTCAGGGAAGGCAAAGGGAACAATGCCCATACAGCCTAATCTTTAGTTATAGTCTTCTTTTTTTTACATTAGAATGTCAGTGTGATGCATTCTAATGTTTCTTGGAGTGTTTGGCACGAAATTTATGGAGCTGGCTTTTACTCTAAGCTTCTGTGAGGTAGTCAACACTACAATAAAGTTCTCGCGTCCACTTGACCGGAATAGCGTATATTTTAAAGATTCCACTAATTCTTCAGTTGCGCAGACGGTTGTAACACCAAATCACACCAATTTTACTTCACAATATCCACTATGAACGAATTTTAGAATAATTAAAATAAGACGCCAACCGCTCTCGCAGAAATAAAAAACTTCGTATCGTCAATAAGAAAATGGTGTCGATTCTGGCATGATTCTC